ATAGTACCTGTTCTTAACCTGAGGTACCACTTTAGCTAATGGGGCCTCCTGCTGCGCCGCCGCCGCACAATTTCTATTCTCATCCTGAAGCAAAGTTCTTAGCCTGAGGTACTATTTCTGGGTTAGCAGAGTCTGTAACCTGAAGCGTCTGTAACGTGAAGCGTCTGTAACCCGAGGTACCACTGTATTTTTAAGTAAGGCTTTTGTTTTGAAACACTGAGCCGCAAAACCTTCTCCAAAAATATGGCTAATCTCTTAACTATCTTTGTTGTTGCTTCTGCCAACAATTCCAAGTAGTTTGCAGAATTGGTGTAATAGAGATCTGCAAGAAAATTGACAAGCGAACTTTGTGCCATTCCAGGTTACTTTGTGCAGATCACTGGCATACATTAGCGCTTTCGAGCCCATTCCAGACACAGTGAATATCTGTTAGGCAAAACTTATTCATTGTATTCCATCACCAGGACTTCTCTGTTTTCTGAGCACTGTTTTGTTGGTTCTAGTATCTAGCACGGAATATACATTTCCTGAGAATATCAGCACCTTCCCTACTCATAACAGGCTTATAGCTTTGGTGGTTATGGAGGAAATATGGCCCGTAACACTAGCAAGTATCCTAGGAAAATGGGATTTGGAAAATTTTCCTATACAAATTAGGATACTTTGCATTGGAAAACCTTCTGGGGCCCAAGAGTGCTTTAATTTGCTGTGTTCGGTTTACATGTATTTAGCAAGCAGAGCTAGAATGTTGAAGCTTGTCTAATGTTATAGTTGCAGTTGGCATGCACTCATTGTGACTAACGAATTTACGAAATAAAATTTTCCACGAAGAAACAGATAAAGCACGTTTTACAAGTAATGTTTTCTGGGGGGGAAATAATCACCTCACATTGCTAGCTAGCACACCCCAAAAGGTGGGCCTCTTGAATGCAACAGGCAAAGCCAAGTGGGTACGAGTATAATTGGACAGATGATTCTTAATGAATTTCTGAATGTTTTGTGCAATGAAAGTTTCTACAGCGGAATAGAAGGTTTCTAGTGCAGAATATGGCAGCAAGGCTGCTCAAGGAGGTGACTAACACTTGTTCTGAAAGAGCTTCATTGGCTGCCAGTATGCTGGGTGATCTCGTGTGTGTGTTTGTGTGTGTGTGTGTGTGTGTGTGTGTGTGTTTGTTTGTAATTTTTTTATATACTAATAATAGCATGAAGCAATGTAAACACCAAATAATGAGTAGCAATCGCCAGGAATAAATCAAAATACAGTCATTTTACACACACACACACACACACACACACACACACACACTGCAGAAAATAATAGCAGCATGTTAAATTAAATCACCAAGCCAAAAAGATGCATGAGTCCCACAGGGTCTGGGTAAGATGGTGTGTCAGGTTTAAGGTCTTCCACCTAGCAGTTCAAAAGCACATCAAAGTGCAAGTAGATAAATAGGTACCACTCCAGCGGGAAGGGAAACAGCATTTCCGTGCGCTGCCTAGTCATTCTGGCCACATGACCCAGAAGCTGTCTGCGGACAAACCCTTGGCCTATAGAGCGAGATGAGCGTGCAACCCCAGAGTCGTTCGTGACTGGACTTAACTGTCAGGGGTCCCTTTAGCTTTACCTATTTGCATATTTGGGACTCTGAACAACTTGGGACTGGGTTACCTTTAGGGAGGCCTTACATTTTTTATACCCCTGTGTGGTCACTTCTGCCCTTGCAAGAGGCCCTCTTAGTAGTTCTGTTTTCTCCCGAAGTTCACCTTACGTCTACTAAGAGCAGGGTCTTTCATGTGGTAGCACCTGTCTTTGAGAATGTGCTTCCAATGAACAGCAGACCAGGCACTTTCCATCCTGGCATTTACGCTCACCTGTTCACTCAAGGCTTTCCCTGCGGGGTGATCCATCTGTGTTGATACAGTAATTTGATACAATTTGCAATGGATTTTGAATTTGTTTTATGGACGCAATTTTTACTGTTTTATGGTGTTCACCACCATGGTGGTTTTCGTAAGGTTGACGGTAATTTTTGCGAACAGAGAAATAATAAAATAACAGCACCTCCTTCTCATGCTCCCTTTGGGGGCCATGGTGGCGGTGTTATGCCAACAAATTTGTTTTATAACATAAGCTTGGCAACTGGAGATCTTGTTTTTGTGTGTGTTTTTTTACTTATGATGTCAGACTGAGAAGGAAGAAGGTTATGTAAGGTATTTGATGTTTTCCGGAGCAGCAAAATTGCATGTGAAGAAAGAATCTCTGTAATGCATGAAAAAGCGTCAACTTGTGGCAAAGAGCAGGCGGATGAGAATTGGGGTTCAAAGGAGGACGGCCCTTCCTCATTTAGTTTTGCAGATACTTTATCTGTAGTTCTTCTCTAATGGCACAGACGAAGTGTTAAAGGCAGAAGAATTCTGTGAACTGGAAGGCTAAAGATAACAATGTGTATTTGGCTTCATATAATTAATTTGCAGGTGACCCGTGGGAATGTGGCAGGCAGGTTGTGCTGCTTTCACAACAGCCTTGCAGCACAACCCCACACAGGTTTACTCAGAATTTTGTCTAGCTGCGTTCAGCAGGTTTCAGTCACTAGTAAGTGTGCAGCCTAATTCAATAGCAGCTTCTCCCCAACGGTGGACAAGCCACAGGCAGCACCTGGGAAAAAATACTGATATATGAACAGTGGTGCCTCGCAAGACAAAATTAATCCGTTCTGCTAGTCTCTTCGTCTTGCGGTTTTTTCGTCTTGCGAAGCACGGCTATTAGCGGCTTAGCGGCTATTAACGGCTTAACGGCTTAGCGGCTATTAACGGCTTAGCGGCTTTAAGAAAAAGGAAACAAACTCGCAAGAACTCGCAAGACGTTTCGTCTTGCGAAGCAAGCCCATAGGGAAATTCGTCTTGCGAAGCACCTCAAAAAACGGAAAACCCTTTCGTCTAGCAAGTTTTTCGTCTTGCGAGGCATTCGTCTTGCGGGGCACCACTGAACTTTGAAATCATAGCAATCAAAATGCAACAAATTGTTTCATTCGTTCCCACCTCCACTTGATTAGCATTGTGCTTTAAAACGTAAGCAACCTCTTAAAAACTTCTTCTTTTTTAATGGATACTTTCTGTATCCTGAAAATAGACCCAGCCTTATCAGAACCTTGTCTAGCCATCGAGAGTGTGTTTGGGGTTTTGTTCCTGTTGTTGAAAGCTCTCCCCACCCGTCCAACCTTTTGAGTTCTCTCCCCCTCACCCCCGTTTTTTTATTTTTTAAGGGAGATGGCCTTGAGGAGGTGGTTTTGTGTTTCAGAGGCAGAAGGCAAGGCTTGACCAGCTGGTATCTTGAACTGACACAGGTGCAAAGACCACAGGGGGTGGGATACAAGAATAATTATAGGTTTCTGAAGCATCAGGCCTTGCCTCAAAGGGGGCTTGCGGAGAACTGTTCTTTATGGAAAATTAATGACAAGGCTCGAAGTCTGTCAGGACCACTATGGTTGTCATAAGAGGAGTAATGCCTTAAAGGGACAGCTCTCCCCCCCCGCCCTCTCCACAGGAAGTTTGGAGACCAAACCCAGCATTTTAATCTCCAGGCAGTGGAGAATTCAAATGACTGGCGTTAGACATAGCAGCCTCCACGCTTGCTAACCTTAAGTGCTCTTAAGAGTTTTCTGTGCAGCAGAGAGTAAACCGAGGCCATGAAGAGGTGGGGGGCAAATATTTCAGCCCTGTGATAGATAGAAAGAAGGAAGATCCTAATACAGTAAGCCCTCAACTTACACAGAGGCAACGTTCCAGGGATAGCGTCTAAAGCCAAAATCAAGTGTAGTCAAACCGTAATGAGTGCAATGGCGGGTGGGATTGCCAAAGACTTTTTTCTCCTGCGCTCATTCCCCCTTTTAAAATTTTGTTTTGTTTTGTTTGTTTGCCAGGCATGTACAGCTGAATGCACACAAGTTAAATGTGCACCAGTTGCATAGAATACTTACTGAATTGTACCTGGGGGGTTGGGAAGTGGACCTTACACTGGTTTGTATGTTATAGCAACTCCTGTTCTCTGGGTGTTTTTCCTTGACTACTCAACATTGCGTGGAAAGGCTAAAATGTAAAAGGCTGGCCTATATAAATGGACTGTTACAGCACTTTCGATATCCCACTTTTCTGTCCCGGTGGCCTGGCATTTATACCAACAGCCAGCGGTTCTGAGCAGAACCTCAAGGAGCTTTCCCCGCTGGTTCCTCTTGCCCTGCTGAAAGGAGCTATGAGCCACTGGGCCGAAAGCAACCTGGTTTGCACTGCAGAGGAGCACTTCCTGTGCCTTCCACCCCACAAAAACGAAAGCTTCCCTTGTTTGGTACAGAGGTATTTGTGCCAGGACCCCAGAGAAGATGCAACTGCAGCCTGCGAATAGCCTGCTTGTGTGCTATTAGCAAACCTTTCAGATGGATCGGGGAGAAATTTGACTGATTGTGGCGCAGCCTCATAACATTTGGGGGTTGGTTCACAAGTGGTTGCTCCTGGGGTTGCTAGGCAACTGGAAAAGGCCTCTGCTGTCCTCCGTCTTCCTCCCAGAATGGAGAAGTGGCACTTGTAGCTGTTGTTCTGTGGGGAAATTCATAGAATTGTGGAATTGGAAGGGATCTTGAGGGTCATCGCGTCCAACTCTCTGCAAAGCAGGAATCTCTTACCCAACATGGGCTTTGAACCAACCACCCTGAAATGAAAAGTCTTGAGCTATAGCACAGCAAATAATTTATTTCTCCTTTCTTTTCTTATGACTGTTTTGGCCTATCCATATGTTTCCGCCAATTAGGGAAGGGATGGGGCAGCTGTGGCCCTCCAGATATTGCTGAGCTACACTTCCCATCATTCCCATTGGCCTTGCCAATGATGGGAATCGAGCAGTACCTGGAGGCCCGTGGGTTCCCTACCCCTGTGTCTGTCTTCTGTTTCAAGGCAGTGGCAACTGTTGGATTGGGTGATCTAATGACGTCTTCCTTCTCTGTCTGCAGACATGCCTTGAGCTGGAACGCTACCTTCAGACGGAGCCCAGGAAGATATCGGAGAGCTTTGGTGATGACTTGGACTGTTTCCTCCACACTGCCTCCGCTCAAGACACAGAAGACACCATCCAGCAGCTGGATCCCCTCTTGTTACCTGTCGACATGAGTCCTTGCGACAAGAATTCCAACATGGACGTTATCGTCTCGCGGGACAAACTCTTGTCCGAGACTTGCCTCAGCTTGCAGCCTACCAGCTCCTCCACAGAGGGCTATACTGCCGTTAACCAGGCCCAACTCAACGCAGTGACCTCACTAACACCTCCCTCCTCCCCTGAGCTCAGTCGCCATCTTGTAAAAACCTCACAGACTGTCTCCGCGGTGGATGGCACAGTTACGCTGAAGTTAGTTGCAAAGAAGCCCGCCCTCAGCTCTATAAAAGTCGGTGTGGTAGCACCGGCCAGCACAACAAAGTGTGCGCTCAGTGACAGCGAGCAAGGAGGGACGGGGGCAGATGCTTTGCCGGAAAACAAGAAGAGGGTTCATCGCTGTCAGTTTAATGGGTGCCGGAAGGTTTATACAAAGAGCTCACACTTAAAAGCGCACCAGAGGACTCACACAGGTACTTACGTTGGATGCTTGGGTCTCGTGCTTGTTTGTTTGTTTGTTTGTTACGTTCAGAGTTGGAAGTCCCTAGATGAGAGTTGTCTATTGGAAGATGGTTTGGAGCAAAGTGTTCCATGTGTTTCTGAAGTGGGGGGTGGGAATTTGCTATCTGAGGGTGACCTTCCTTGCGTGGAAGACCCCTGAAAGAGTCTCAGGTTTCCCTGCATTTGGTACACGTTTCAGAATTCCCCCAAAACACTGGAGATGCAAAGCCTGTGTTCACATGTAATGCCATGCCACATCTTCTGGTTTACTGTGAGCAAGCAGCATTTGCAAGACACGATCCTCAAAGCGAACAAAGCAACCAGGGCTTCAGCCATGATCCTGAGTTTTTAGGTAATGGAAAGCCAAGGTTTACTGGTTTGTTCACCCCATTCATGCCAGGGGAGGAGCAAAGTCAGAGCATGTTGGGAGCACATTGTTTGTGAAATCTGGATTACTGTTACATGCAAACACAGCCAATGGGGTGCACAGGTCATTGGATGTGAAAAGCTTTTTGCTGTTTGTTTGAACCATCTAGATTTGCATATCTTGGTCCCGGAAAGCACCTCCAAGTATAGCATATATTCTCTCCGTGAATGATGCGGATTAATGTAGCAGGATTAACGCACTGCCAGTGCTGTTAGCTCAAGGGGGGTGAGTGAATTGGCTTTATTTCACACCTGGTTTATGAGTCTGGCAGTTCTTTGATGGAATGAGTTGAGGACAGAAGAGTGGGCTGGATTCTAATCAGTTTAGCTTTGTAATGGTCGCATGCATTTCAAGTGGTGAAGTCTGTGAACTAATAGGATTCTGTAAAAAAACCTTCAGGGAAACGGCTTTAGTCCTATTGTCAAAAGAAATGTAAACTCCGAAAGACCTGCACTGTAGTTCCCATCCCACAAACAGTTGACGTCTGGACGGCAGACTCAGCAAACACACAGGTCACAGACTTTCCCACTGGGCTGAGACATACTGTATTTCTGTTTAAACTATAGTGATTATTTATAAAGGTGCATATATGTGCTTAGGCTGGTAGTTAAAATGACACTTCTCAGTGTGCTTAGAAATGTCACTTGTCAAGGAATTTTTCTGGGCGGTGGTGTTTCTATGCCTTTCAGCAGGGGCTTCCTCTCAGTATCTTAAGAGTACTTTTTAAAAAAAAAAGGTTTCAAATAATTGCAAAGAAACACCCCAAAACTTGAGATGTGCCCTAGGAATAATTTTGTGCTGATGATTTTGCATCATCATCATTTACCATGCCATAACACTTGTAAAACACCCCCCCCCTTAATTCTTTCCAGAGTAATCTTGCAAGGTCATTGCTTCTTCCCATGCTCAGATATGGCAGCTGACATAGAGTGTTTTGCCCAAGGCCACAGATACCTATGGCCGACCACAGGTTTGAATCCAGGTGTCCCAGTCAGAGTTTAGTTTTTTGTCTAGCAAATTGTATCCTCATCATGTAGAGCTTTTCACTGTGTGAACTACATCACATTATAAATGATTTTAGACATTCAAGGAGGCCCACAGTATAAACCTCTAGCTAAACTCTACAGTCTTAGTATGCATAATGTGGATTGCAAAAGTCCTTGTGTCAGAATTTCTCAGTGGAAAAAGGGAGAAAAGAACATATTGAAATGAGTGAGCTTTTAAACAGCCAGTTCTCCATAAGTTCTTTCCCCTCTAAATATTTGGATTACATGCGTTGAGCTATCCCGTCTTCTCTCTCTACATTCTCTCTACTCTCAGAACATTTCTCAAAATAATTATTCTGCAATTGATTAATGTCTCTGCTCTCTTTCTCAGCTTTCCTCATGAGGAGGATGCAGTTCCATGACTGCTGTGCTATTTTTTGCTTCTAAAGGAACTGCTGAGTCAGTTTCCTCAATTTTGCTGTTGAACATGCAGTCTTTAATGATAATGCCACCATGCCATTAACATGTCTTTATAAAAGAGAGTTCCTAGAGATAGGTTTCCACCCTTATAAAGATAAATTTCCTGGGCTTGTAGAAATTAATATTATGCAGAGGATTTTCAAAGACTGAACTATTCATTGTGCTGTAGAGTTTCTGCATTGTAGTGGCTTAAAATCATCCCTTGTTCAAGGACCACCTTGGCCACATGCTTTCCATGTGGTGCTGGGGAAACTATGGGTTCCGTTCCAGCAGCACACCAAACCATGGTTTGCTCTAATGATAATTTAAAATCCAAACTGTTAGCAAAATGATGCTCATAACTATGTTTTGTCAGTTTGGACATCACACCAAAGTGCTCACTGGGAGTTGATGGCATGATGGGAGTTGTAGTCCAACAGCATCTGAGGGCTAGTGGTTCCTCAACCCTGGTGTAGATGACTGAACTAGATGGACCGATGGTCTGAATCCATAAAAGGCAGCTCCCTGTGTTCCTAACGTAAAGTGTTCTGAACTCCCTAAAGTGCTATATAATCCATGTTTAGTATTAGTGCTTCTCATGCCACTGGAGGTAATAATTTCAGTTTACTCATAAGCTCTGAAGGAGCGTCTCCACCCCCATCGTTCTACCCGGACACTGAGGTCCAGCACCGAGGGCCTTCTGGCGGTTCCCTCACTGCGAGAAGCCAAGTTACAGGGAACCAGGCAGAGGGCCTTCTCGGTAGTGGCACCCGCCCTGTGGAACGCCCTCCCACCAGATGTCAAAGAGAAAAACAACTACCAAACTTTTAGAAGACATTTGAAGGCAGCCCTGTTTAGGGAAGCTTTTAATGTTTGATGTATTATAGTATTTTTTTAAAAAATTGTAAGCCGCCCAGAGTGGCTGGGGAAGCCCAGCCAGATGGGCAGGGTATAAATAAATTATTATTATTATTATTATTATTATTATTATTATTATTATTATTATTATTATTAAAGTTGTAGATGAGTACTGTTATCTGATTGTGGCACACTTTGGTCGATCAGCTTAGGTTGGTAATTTGAATGGTCTGGTGTGAGAAGAGCAAGGGGGTTGGGTTTCATGGACATTTGGTCCACGGTGACTCTCGGTGAGTCTAGTTTTCAGATCTGTTACTGGTCAGATTGAGACATCCTGGCAGCAGTCAACTAGCAGTGGAAAACTGTGTCATCGGGAGGCAGCCTTCAGACATGCAGGACTAGAACTTCTTTGAGCAAAAGGTGAAACCAGGTGTAAAAGAATGACTTCGGGGAGTGGACACACCCTTGAAATTAAGGTTCTGGCATGATTCCTACTGAGCTTGTACTCAGAAGTAGAACCGGTATTTAGTTTCAGAACTGAACTCCGTCTTTCCTGGCCCTGTTTTAGCTTTGTTCATTGCATTTAGTGAGGGGATATGCTTTTTGCAGCTTTCAGTTGGGAATTTCCCTTGCCATTCAAATGCAAATCACCCAGATATCAACCAGTGAATCCCAATCTACCTTCTGACTCCCCCGGCTCTAGGCCACACCTTTCAGCCTTGAACCAATTCATCGGAAAGAGAAAGAAGCTCAGTGGCTATGTGCAGGATATAGCCCTCCTATACGTGTTGTCCCTGACACCTTCACATGCTAGATACGTAGAATGAAGCACCCTCTCACCTCGCTTGTGTAGTTACATTTCTGGCCCTGATCACTATTGCAAATGAGATACTACTGGGTGGGCCCAGAAGTCTGACCCACAACAGCTGTGCTTATGTTTACATGGCTTGCCTTTCTCAATCTGCACTGTCTGATCCCTCTCGACAATAAAGCTAGCATTACTTATGCAGGAAGAGAGCTAAATTGCCTCCAAAACCAAAATAGGAAGTATTAAAGAGGCGTGGTTTGGAAATTTTGGGGTGTATTGTCACGATCCCAAGCACACGTACCCAAGATTACAGCCATGGAGCAGTTATTTTGCTGGGTCCTTTGTCTTTCCACGCAGCCGTAGCTTCTTGGAAGCATCATCAGCGTAACACACTGTCAATTGTGAACATGCTTGGCAGTGCCAATGGCTGCCAGCCACTTGGCTCAGTTGACAGCTGAACTGAAGGTCTGAAAAGATTGTGAGATATTATTTTTCCCTTTGGCTGCTGGTAGCGCTCTCATGTGCAGAAGAAGAGGAGGCTCTGTGTGGCTTAATTGCTCCGCATCTCTACAATAAAATGGAAAGACAAAGGCTTCTCTCTCCTTGAACATAAGCGGATGGGTTTCTTCTGCCACGCAGTGTCTCAAGCAATCATGTTGCAAACTCTGGTGGACGGAATGAGATTTGCTGTAGGGCGGCCTTGGGGGTGACCACAGAATGCACCCTTGATTTTGCCTGTGGAGATCCATATGCATTCCACTGACTGCAAAGTTGACAATCCCTGTGCGGGGGGAAGAAAGCAAAGCACAAAACCCCTGGTCCCTTGCTGTCGAGGGGACTGAAGCAGGCAGAAGGAGAGGGGAGAGGACAGAGAGAAGGGAGGGTTTCCCCACTTGATTTATTATATTTCTGTGCTGCTTTTCATTCAAATGAATCTCAAAGCGGCTTACAGACAGCAAAGAACGATAACACAACGGAACACAGTAAAACACCACAAATACAGCTTAAACCATATAGAATGAAGCAATGACGACCTATAAAACACTGTCAACAATTTTAAAAAATAAGCTAAATGTCACAATTAAAGCAAAAGTCATATTACAGTGGTACCTCAGGTTACATACGCTTCAGGTTACATATGCTTCAGGTTACAGACTCCGCTAACCCAGAAATAGTGCTTCAGGTTAAGAATTTTGCTTCAGGATGAGAACAGAAATCGTGCTCCGGCGGCACGGCAGCAACGGGAGGCCCCAATAGCTAAAGTGGTGCTTCAGGTTAAGAACAGTTTCAGGTTAAGAATGGACCTCTGGAACGAATTAAATACTTAACCCGAGGTACCACTGTATATGATTAACAAATCAACACAGCATTTATAATCTATAAAGCAATGCTAACATTCAGAAAATAGCAATCAGAAAATAAGCTAAGCGTTGT